TGCATTGTTCATGAATTTCTGGGTTACCACATTGAGTGTATTCTGTAATAATGACCACAAATTGGCATGGTTATCAGGAGAGGGCAATTAAAAATAATTGATATAATAAGGAAACCGATTTAATTTCTATCCAAATAGAATCAAATGCATCAAACTAGATACAGAGTGTTATTGCGTCAAATTTACTGGACAAAAGTGCATTTTGTGTCTGTTGCTTTAGTGACAAATAAATATCTCTTTCTTCGTGCTTGCAGGTATAAAACCTGAAACACACTCTCCTGGGATGTTCTCCTGGTTCCCCATTCTATTCCCTTTGAAAGTAAGTTCAGTTCTTTTTTGTACCCCTCTTTCCATTAAACGCATTTTATTGGACTGTCCCGCTTTTAATGCAAGTATACAAGCTCACTTATGGATTTGTTTAATAATATTGATTAAGAAGAAAACGTTTTATAATTTTTAGCATATGTAAATGTAAAACTCCTTGTGTAATTTTAAATGTTTTATCTTTGTTTTGGTTTGTTTTTTATTGTAATTGTATTTCTGTACCTCTTGTATTTTTGTATTCTTGTATTAACTATTGTATCTGCTTTTGCCGTGAAGATGCCTCAGATGCTGGCATGGAATTCAAATCCGTACTACTACTATATTTTTGTACTGAAACACAAGCATACACTATATTTTGTTCAACAAGGTCGAATTAATCAAAAGTGACATAATTTTACATTGCTACAAAAACATCTGTTTCAAATAAATGCTGTTCTTTAAACTTTCTATTAATTGTAGAATCCTAAAAAAATTATCTTGGTTTCCACCAAAATATTAAGCGGAACAGCTGCTTTTCAACACTGATAATAATTAGCAATGTTTCTTGAGCAGCAAATCAACATATTAGAATGATATCTGAAGACTGACACTGAAGACTAATTTAAATTTATTTCAGTCATGGAAAACCTGAATTTTCAATAGCCATTTCTCTAATGTATAAATGGAAAACTGTTGTTTTAAATTGTTTTAACCATTTTACTGTTGTTCTGTATTTTTGATCAAATAAATATAACTCTGATGACCTTACGATATTTATTAAAAAAACAAAAATGTATTGTTTATAATAGTAGCTCCTCCACCTGATGTTTTTTTTTTAAATTGAAGTATACATACAACTAAAATTTACTTGTGCATTTTTTTTAAATGTTCAGCCCGTCCCATTGCATTCTGGGAATCCCTTCTCATTGAGTGCTAGTGTGTTTCGTTATAGCTGTCAGCTTATCTTTATATTTGACTTTTTTTATCTCAGTATATGACTGTTATCCATCACTCAATGCACGCACTTTCTTGTAATACCATTTGGTGTGAACTTCTGCCATGGACATAAATACAGTTAGCACTTTCAGTTTGAAAGGAGCCAGCTAAGCACTGTCAGAGCGTGGCAGTTTATCGACTCCACAGTTAATGCGCTGAAGTGTACAGCCACATTGGGAGTGTAATCCTAACACCTTTTTTCCCCTCTCTCTCTCTCTCTCTCTTTCTCTCCCCATGCAGCAGCCGATCCCGCTGTCCTGTGGCAATAACGTGAGCGTGAGGTTCTGGAGGTGTAACAATGGAAAGAAGGTCTGGTATGAATGGGCTGTGACTGAGCCTATATGCTCCGCCATTCACAACCCTTCTGGGCGCTCTTACACCATCGGCCTGTAGCAAGCTGACATCTGCTGAGACATGGGGTTACACTGACTTTTGTTTTGTCTTGTTGTTTTTTTTTTTATAAACAATCTGGTTTTCAATTAAGCGGCAGGTTTAAATATCTTGTTTCAAGGGTTCAATTACACTCAAGGAGATTGTTCACCATGACAGCTATGTATCTTTGGCCATTTCTGTAATGTTCATGAGGATGGAAATTAAAACAGCACTTACGAGGTATCCTTTAAAGCAGTGCGCGATGTCCTGGTGCTCTTTATTAGTTCAAACTCTTCTGATATTTCAAAAATATATTAATAGCACAAAAGCTGTTATTTTTTTGAATACTATTGTTTCTAGAACTGATTAAGTGAGTCCAACAGTCTATTTTGCCACTCTACATAATACATCAGCGTTATTTCCCAATTGTCCACCAGTGCCCTGCAAAGCCCCGTTGTGAGAATAATCATAGTATGATGTCCCCAGTCAGGCCATGTTAGAAAACATATCCCATACTTTTATACAGTTTTTTTTTTCCTGATTAAAAAAATGTATTGTCATATAACATGAATAAAAAAAGGTACAAAATTGTTATCTTCCTCTCTGATAAATTTTATAAAACGTCCCAAGACAAACTCACTCCATTTCATAAATCTATGTCGCAATATACAGGTAATGATGACCATGACATTTAAAAAAAAATATATATATACATATTGATATTGTATTATTATTACGCATAAATAATCCAGTGGCCAAAAGAAAGAAAAAAAAGAACAATTTGAATTAGATTTTTTTTTTGCACAATTTCATTTTTTTCAATTTGAGTTATTGTAGATCATGATCATGACATACTAAAATCAAAATTAGATGTTAAACAGTCAGAATTATGGCATGAAAATCGAAAATTGGCTTTTTATTATGACCGTTGACTTTTCGATGTCCTCATAATTTTTAATTTTTGTCATAATTATTTATAGTTGACACTTCATAATAGGTGGCAGTATTGCCATACATAAAATTTACATAAACATCTAATTGTTTTAGGCAAAGAACAGTCACATTAGCTATTGAATGTATTTAAGAGAGAAGTAATCTGTAGCTAAACAATTATAGGCAGGGAAACCATCAGCGCTGATTTCGTTTTCTTTGTTTACTCATGAACACTCATTAACAGAGTGCAGCGTTAACGTGTTTGCCAAGACATCTAAACCTATTTGTTAGCATCATGCAGGGAATATTCACAAATATCCATTTAAGCACCATTGATTGTGATCCTTGTCTTCTTGGTGAGAAACTTTGGAAGACACTAGAGAAGGCACTTGCTTTGTCTAATTGAATTATGAATGTAATTTGTGTCTGTGACTTCTCTTAATTTTATTCAGTTATTCTTTAACACTAATTTCTTTGGAGTTAAATTGTACAAGTCATTGCATCATTGTTTAGGTTATTGTTAAAAATGTGCCAGTCTGAGGTGGTGGGCTTCCTCAGCTGAGTTTTGGTTTCTTCTACTTCGAGCTACTTAGAACATCTTAGGGAGTTTCTTCACTGGCACTGATGCCTTTGGCAACTCACCGGGGTGCATGTAAGACATTATTGTGTGTAAATCAGCTTTGGAATAGTATGCATTGTGAAAAGCACTATACAAATAAATTTAAATTTAGCTTTAGGGAAAAGCTTATTGATTTGCATGGCTGGCTGAGCTGAAGCTTTGTTCTTTGGCCAGAGAGCTCATTTTTGTCATGTGGCCCCTAGCAAACCCAATTCTGGCCCTTTGAAGTGCTGAAAAAATTTGTTACAGCCCCATTATGCATGTATATGTCTGTCAGTCTATATTTACAAATCAATGTTTAGATCATAATTTATCACAGCCTTCCAAGTATTATATAAAAAAAGCTTTTAGCCTATATGGTGGCCCATTTCTGCCACATGAGAAAAAAACCATGCATTGGTAAAGCATAATTATGACGTACCAAGTCATTGACATAGAAAGTCATAATTATGACAAAAAGTTAAAATTGAGAAGTGTTAATAGCTATGTTTCCATCCACCTATTTTTACGTGCATTTTGGAATATCGCATAAAAAAACCGCTGGATAGAAATGCCAAGATGCACATAAATTCTAAGAATGTGCATAAAACACTTATGCATACAATTAAAGTAGGATACACTTTTTTTTTTATGCGATAAGAAAAAACGCGAATAAAATACGATGGAAACACATTTACTAAATAAATTCCACCATGCGCATCAAACAAAGTCATGTGACTTTGCATGATGGGACGGGATAACTTGACTAACCAGTTGAGCGATCTCTTTGCACAGCATCTGAAATGTTGTTTTGGTTGTTCTGAAATGCCTGAGCAAAGTCTGTCATCAAAGTATTTCTAAATAATTGTCTTAAACGACTGCGTTCCCAAACAGCAGGCATCCATCTTCGAAAGTAATAACAGCATTTATTGCTTTTCGTCTGCTTGCTCTGAAGTGGCTTCTCCTATTTTCTTAGTGATATTTAGTGCCAGTTTATCAGGAAATTATGATTTTGTTCTCTTTGACTCGTTGGATGGGAACTGTGCATTATTCGCAAATGTTTTAGGCAATATTCCAGTTTTGCCCACAAGTTAAAATCGAATCTTTGGATGCAAACATAGCTGATAAAAAAGTTGAAATTGAGAAATTTATTTTAATAAATAAATAATCATATTTATGAGATAATGTCAAGTATGGCAAAAAGTAAAAATGGTCATAATATACATTTTATGACACTTTTTGCCTTATGACTCAGAATCTCAATTTTGACATCTCTTTTTGTCATAATTTTGGCATGTCAAATTTTCACATCATAATTTTGACTTATGTCATAATGACTTTTATGAACAATAATTATTAATGCAATAGTTTTTAGGTGGCGGAAATGGGGTTCCATATTATGAACAAAAATTCATTATTTCATCATTCATAAAATATATTTTTCTAAATTATTTTTATGTAATATTTTGCTGCTGTTTTTTAAAAAAGTTTTCCTCACCCTAACAGGTTTTGATTTTGTAATGTCTTGATTTTAATATCAGTAAGTGTGGGTTAAGAGGACAAACATTCAAATGGCATAATTTTGTTTGCCTGATTATGACCCAGATTTATTTATTTATTTTGACCTTAAGTTGAGATTTGGTGCTGCAAGACTATTGTGATTCCATTGCTAAATACAAAATCTCTTTGTAGTTGCATAATATTGCCTCTGTTGCATTCATCTATTAAACTAGACCAAACCAGAACACTGTGGGCGGGTTTATCAGATTATCACATTAAGTTTGGGGCAGGAGGATAAAGTTACGGAGACTCTCAACATTAAGCACAGAGTTGCTGCTGTCTGTGTGAAAATGAGCAGCAGTGGCACCCGACGCAGGGCTGCATCAGTGCCAGACACAGACACCGACGACGGAGAACCAGCAGTGACCTTGAAGAAAGAGATCGGACTCCTCAGTGCATGTGGCATTATTGTGGGTAAGTCTGTGTTTTATGCATTACGTTTCCTCTTTATATTCTCCTTGCACTTTATATGGTATAAAAATACATGCAGTAAATAAAAGTAGGCCTATAGTTTGTATCCCCTGAATTCATAAAATTATATATTTATGCATATCCATGATATTTTGAAGAACTGACCATTCAGTGAAACTGAAAAGAGTCCAATATTGTTTTCATTGCAAGGACCAAAAAACACTAATACATTTTTTTAAATATCCTTTTTCCATCACCATACTATGCATAGGATATATGCATAAAGTACATAATTTAATTACATTTTTTTTAATATTATATCTATATGATATAAATGAGAAATAAAGCATGTGAACAGTAACTCCATCCAGAACAAACACCGCGTGGAGCTGAAGCACAGGTAGGGCCCTAGTAAGGATTATAAACAGTGAAGAGATTTCTCAGTAGGAGTCTGGTGTTAGGTAGCAAGTTTAAACCTAAACTGGGTCACTACTCGGCATGTAATTTAGACTTGAATGCGAGAAGCTCACCAGCATGTCTGTGCCAGTTACCTCACTGCTGGGTTAATGCGTGTTATCTGAGATTTAAGCTGTCAGTAGGTGTTTGGGTTACAGCAGGTCGGGTCACTATCTACCCGTCTTGTCCATTAACAGGTTCTGTTGTTTTGGTTTTGATGTGTGTGTGTGTGAGAGAGAGAGAGAGAGAGAGAGGGAGATCATTTGTGGAATTACTTGGTTTTAAAGCCTCAGGTTTTACACTCAAAAATAGGATGTTGGTTAAGGATCTCTGTTGTCAAAAAACTTGTACGTTGGGGTTTTTGAATGTGTCATAAATTGGATAATTGTTCATATCTCTTGACATGTCTGTTCCTGTTAAAAACAGAGATACTTAAAACATTGACAACAACTGTTTTTCAAACCTCTGATTAATATTTAATATTCAGATTGATAACCTAAGAATTACCTTGTATGTAAGCCCTGAAACACATGTACAGGTGCATCTCAATAAATTAGAATGTCACGGAAAATTTCATTTATTTCAGTAATTCAACTCAAATTGTGAAACTCGTGTATTAAATAAATGCAATGCACACAGACTGAAGTAGTTTAAGTCTTTGGTTCTTTTAATTGTGATGATTTTGGCTCACATTTAACAAAAACCCACCAATTCACTATCTCAACAAATTAGAATATGGTGACATGCCAATCAGCTAATCAACTCAAAACACCTGCAAAGGCCTTCAAAATGGTCTCTCATTTTGTGTCACTAGGCTACACAATCATGGGGAAGATTGCTGATCTGACAGTTGTCCAGAAGACAATCATTGACACCCTTCACAAGGAGGGTAAGCCACAAACATTCATTGCCAAAGAAGCTGGCTGTTCACAGAGTGCTGTATCCAAGCATGTTAACAGAAAGTTAAGTGGAAGAAAAAGATGCTCAACCAACCGAGAGAACTGAGATTGATTAGCTGATTGGCATGTCACCATATTCTCATTTGTTGAGATAGTGAATTGGTGGGTTTTTGTTAAATGTTAGCCAAAATCATCACAATTAAAAGAACCAAAGACTTAAACTACTTCAGTCTGTGTGCATTGAATTTATTTAATACACAAGTTTCACAATTTGAGTTGAATTACTGAAATAAATGAACTTTTCCACGACATTCTAATTTATTGAGATGCACCTGTGTATATATACTGTATAAATTACCCTCACAACTGCTTTTCCCCCTGCATTTATTTACATATAGTACTTTACGGATGTTTGTTTGTTTTTGTTAAATTGTTTCATATTTTTTTCTTTATCTTTTTTCATTTGGCAAGGACAATAAATGAATATGGAGATAAAGGAATTGGTTTCTTATTTTGTGCAGAAATAATGGAGGAAAGGGACTCGGGAAGATACTTAAGTAAAAAAAAAAAATCACCTAGTGGTTCAAGGCTGCTGTAGTACAAGTGGCAAAACAGCTTATTTCATTCTCCCCTTGTCTTTTTTCCAAATCTCTTGAGAATTCCATCTCTAAACAAAGGAACTTTTCACTGCTCAACAGGTGTTAACAATGAGCATTCTTAATATTTTACCAGACTGGTTGAAACCAACTCTCAAGGTCACAATGCACTGAAAAAAATCTTGTATAAGGGAAGAACACGGTCTGAGGCATGTGCAAAGAACACAGAGACAACGAATTTTATAATATATACACTACTGTTCAAAGGTTTGGAGTCAGTACAAGTTATGTTGCTGAAAGAAGTCTCTTATGGTTTTTTAGACATTATTAGAATTTCAAATATCTGTTCCCCCCAGTTCCCGAGTTCGAGTCCCGGCTCGTGGACCCCCTCCCCTCCCACTACACTTCCTGTCAACTAACTGTCCTATTAAAATAAAGGCAAAATGCCAAAAATGTAAAAAAAAAAAAAATAAATCAAAACCACACTGGCATTAGAGAGTTGGCCTAACAGCTTCCACTTATCTGGGAAGGCTTTCTTTTAAATACTGAAACATGGCAGTGGGGATTTACTTTCTTTCAGACACAAGCTACATTCAAGTCCTGTTAACTCCTCTTGCCTGTTTGTTGTCATTTCCCCAGGTAACATTATTGGGTCTGGGATCTTTGTAAGTCCAAAGGGTGTTTTGGAAAATTGCAGCTCAGTGGGTCTGGCTCTCATAGTGTGGACTCTCACTGGCGTCATCACTGCCATCAGTGCTCTGTGCTATGCTGAACTGGGAGTCACAATCCCAAAGTCAGGTGGAGACTATTCCTATGTTAAGGACATCTTTGGAGGGCTAGCTGGGTAAGACTGACTCATTTATTTAGTTGAAATGTAATGCGTGTGAGGTCTTACAGGTCTTGTCTTTTGAATAGGTTTCTAAGGCTGTGGATTGCAGTGTTGGTGATCTATCCAACTAACCAGGCTGTGATTGCCCTCACATTTGCCAATTACGCATTGCAGCCTCTCTTCCCTTCCTGCTTCCCTCCAGAGAGAGCGCTGGGTCTGCTCGCCGCCGTCTGCCTGTGTAAGTAAATGCTGATAATTAAAACATGCTTTGGGGCTACATTACATTGTCCATGACACAACGTTTTATCCAAGATCATCCTGCATCTGGTGCTGGGCAGTAACTGTAGAAACATGTAATCTGGATTACATAATTAGATTCCAAAAATTAAGTACTTGTCATTAGATTATATTACATTGTAAAATACTCGTAATCACTACAGCTACCATTTACTGGTTACATGATTATTGAAATTATAATTTATTCATAATGTGTTGATTCTCCCTAATTGTTCTTTTTCATCTCCTAACAAATGGAATATATTTTCGTTCTCTTTGTATTTTTATATCAATATCGTACAAGCTTTTAAATGAGTTAGGTCCAAATCTAAAAGTAATCACAATGGTAAGTAATCAGCCCCAGATGCCAGATCCTGTCAAAAATATATATTTTTTTACTGGTAAAACAGCAACTAATCAGCAATGTTGTCCAATACCCAAAACCTGTTAACAGCAAGTCTTGTCTGGTACCCAAAACCAGTGTTTGGTCTGGTACCCAAAACTTTATTAACAGCCTTCTATCAGCTGAGTTGACTGAGAAAAGCCAGTGAAGAGCAGAAGCAGGAGACAAAATAATGATGATTTTTAAATAAAATGAGCATAGTTGATTGAATAATCTTAGTTGCGTATGTTTCAATGCTCAGACTTCATCTGACGAACACAAATCCAACAAGTAGTGTTATGTCAAACTGCTTCACAACAACATCCCATAAACCTTGAATTTCCATAAACATTTCCTTCTTATCTCTTACTCATTAAGACAAATAACCCTGGAAAACAATGAAAACAACAACAATGGAGAATTTTTTTTTTATATATATATATCATTAGTGAGCCTTGGCTTGACCGCAGGTAGCACTTTGAATCAGAAAAGTGGCTTTTTATCACCTCTTTTTGTTCAGGAACAGGTTCTACATATATTAATACATAATTGTGGTTAATGAGCTTAATGATGTCAGCTGGACTTATAATGGGAAGGTTTCCAAAGAACTTGTTCATACAGGTCTGGATCATGCAGTGTTTTCTTGCAAGAGCTTTTTCCAAAGCCGTGGAACAATGTTGTCTGGCAACTTTAATCATTGTTGAAGCTTAAACCTATTGGCAGTTCTTGCTTTGTTTTCGTTCTTTAATCTAAAGCTGTTATTTTCATGTTTCATGTTGCAGTAACAGTATTGATGAAGTATTTTCAAACAGCAGCTTTTGTCTGAATTTTAAGTTGGACAGTATATACATACAGTATAACATTTGACTGACTTCATTCTTCGTTCAGTGTAACTTCTGGTTACTGCCATCAATATGAATTTGAATGTTTATAATTTGTTCTTTTCCTTGAAGTGCTGTTAACTTGGATAAACTGCTTCAGTGTCCGCTGGGCGACTCGTGTACAGGATGTGTTCACCACAGGCAAACTCCTCGCCCTCTGCCTCATCATCATCATGGGCGTTGTGCAGATCTGCAAGGGTAATTTATAACAGTACAGTCCATAGTGCATCTATATCTATATTTACCATTACCATACTATAATATCATTAACATCACTCATAAACATATTGTGGATTGCATATGCATTATCAGCATAAAAGTGTGAAGATGTGCTGATTTAAATAACGATGTTTCATGGAGAGTGAAATAGGTGCAATTTTTCTAAGAGCTCATGAAGGCTGTGATGAATTAAAAGTTCAAAAGAACAGCATTTATTTAAAATAGATATCTTATGTAATATTATATGTCTTTACTGCATCCTTGCTGAATAAAAGTATTAAAACACATTTGAATAGAAGCATATATATCTATATAAATAGATAGATAGATAGAGTTTTACTTTAAAGTACAATATAAATCACCATGTTTTAATAATATTTTGTCATGCTTTAAAGTAAGCTTATTTTGAAGGGTTTACTAACATGCTAAAGCACGTTAAGTACTTGATTATAATTTTAAGTTTGTCATATTAAATTTAAAGATAATACATTTGAAATGTGCTAAATTGCAACGTCTTCAATATAAATGTTTAATTACTTTAAGTAAATTATATCCATAAGTATTCATTTAAAAGTATACTACAGTGTATAGCTAGCTAGCTCGATAGGGTCGTCGTGATTTTGCCAGGTAAGACATGTTCCTGGATCAACATTTTTTGATAGATAGATAGATAGATAGATATGCTCTTTGTTCACAAAAGTCCTTATAAAATTGTTTTTTTTTTTTTTACTACTGCCATAAAGATATTGACAAAAATACAGTATTGTTCACAAAAGTCCTTATAAAATTTTTTTTTTTTTTTTTACTACTGCCATAAAGATATTGACAAAAATACAGTTCAAGAAAACAATGAAATCTGTGTTTGGCTTGTTTAACTCATTCAGTATTAGATCTGAACATAAAGGGCTTGAATATAAGAGGGCAGGCATTAAGCTAAGAGTATTACATAAGCATACTTTTCATATTTTACCCATTTTTGCACTATAAACAAAAGAGTATAAATCCATTAAGCACAGACAAGCTCACAAATGAATTCGACTGTCATGCTGGCCCATTTGTAGTCTGCTGCTTTCATGTGTTTAATATCCCAAGGACAAAAAAGGAACGTTGAATGTCTTCTTTAAAATGTCTTCATAAAAGCATCAAAAAAGAACTATTGATTTTGACAATGGAAACTTGTACATTGGTTAAATAACAGTGCTTTTTAATGCATAATATGCTTTCCTGCAGTAAATGTGACGAAAATAAATAAATTAAATTGATTATGCAGTAGTTAAAGGTGCAATAGGAGATCTTGGAAAATGCTAACTTTAGCCTGATAGCACTAAAAGCGAACGTCCCACCCTCCCTGCAATCGCCGTCCAAAGCCACTCCCCTGAACGCATATACGCTGACAGACCAAAATTCCAGAGACAACATTACAATAGGCTACATCAGCTGTTCCCAATTCCAGTCCTCGCGCCCTCCTGCTCTGCATATTTCATATGTATCTCTTATCACGTGCAACGTTTGTTCTATTCCGTCCGTAAGTGCCCTGGGAAGTGTACATCACCGGATATTCCGCCATGATTCCAGTTCGAAGCGAGTGTATATGTTCCATACAAAGGGCATTAAAGTGTGCGAGACGTGAATTTATTATTTACAGAGATATATTGTCACACTTCTCTAGTAAGTTTCGTCTGTGTGTGAAGACACTGCGCAGCACAAATCCGTGAATTAATGTTCCGAAGTGAAGTAAATTTCAACGGATTTCCCCTGCTTCCCTTGCGCGAGGACTGGAATTGGGAACCGCTGGGCTACATCATGTGTCATTCACCGGTGAGAAAGCTTTATAGTACAGTTAGTAAAAGTATTACAATACCAGGAACGAAGATCGGGTTGTTGATGTTTGTTTGCCATTCTCGCTCTGTCTGCACAGCGTGCGTGAACGCGCTGATGACGTATCCTGTCTGCACGTACAGGGTGCGCAGAGGTATGCAAATTCACATGTTGACAGGCAGGTATGAAAGCCAATTAAAACGCTCGGACCGAGCGTTTTGATTGGACGAACATTTCTTGGTCCTATGCCTTCCACAGAATATATAAATACATTTAGACCACTTAACATAATGATTGCTATCGGGATGTGAAGAGACTTTCAATCAGCATAACAAAAAATGTTTCTGAAGACAATCATCTATTGCACCTTTAATAAAACTTTTTCCATTCATTTAGATACTCTCTGCGTATTAATTCAGGCATAACGCATAAAATGCTTCCCTGTCTTTTGTCTCCAGGTCATTTTTATTGGTTGGAGCCAGAACATGCATTTCATCCTCTCCAGCCCTATGACATGGGCCGCATTGCACTGGCTTTCCTTCAGGGCTCCTTCGCTTATGCAGGCTGGAACTTTCTTAATTATGTAACAGAAGAGCTCATTGACCCCTACAGGTACACTGCCATTTGTCAGGGAAAATGTACAGTGAAAGACAGTCATTATCACAAAATAAAAAATAAAATCCAACTTTGTCATTATGAGAAATAATTCCAGATATTTCTCTGAGATTATTTTACGCAATAATTGTCTTGCTAAATACATAAAATGTGAATAATAATAATAACATGCATTTAGTACTGGTATCTTTATATAAGAATTTTATGTAAGGATTTTAACACATTAAATACACAATATTAATTGCAGAAATTAACAGATTATTTTCCCCAAGCCTAAAACAACTATAAATACAATACTGTCATGTATAATGTACACCATTACCACATACACAAAAAATGTTTTTGATCTGTTTACTTGGTTCTATTGAAATTATATTGTAATGTCTCAGTTTTTCTCCTAGACAGCATTGAAACTGATTGGAAAGTATTTTCCATTCAGATTATTCTCTTGAGGAAAAATTCTCACATATGAGTAAACTCACGTATGTCCTCTAGAGTTTCAGGAGAGATTTCAAAAGTATATCAAACTGTTCAGGTCTATCAAGATACCAAAAATTAAAAGTCAGAGATTCCTACATAAATACTTCTCATCAAATTCTTCCAAAATGAAAGTTATTATGCCGTCCATATTCACTTTTATTGAATATGAGGCATTTGTATCTCTTTTTATTTCTCCTGAGGCATTTTATGAGAAACATCTGAGACAAAAAAGTAAATGGCAAACATTTTGTTTTTCTGAGAATATTCAGAAGTTATTAGATCATTTATGTATACCGATCAGTTACAGTGGGGAAAAAAAGTATTTAGTCAGCCACCAATTGTGCAAGTTCTCCCACTTAAAAAGATGAGAGAGGCCTGTAATTTTCATCATAGGTATACCTCAACTATGAGAGACAAAATGAGGAAAAAAAATCCAGAAAATCACATTGTAGGATTTTTAAAGAATTAATTGGTAAATTCCTCGGTAAAATAAGTATTTGGTCACCTACAAACAAGCAAGATTTCTGGCTCTCACAGACCTGTAACTTCTTATTTAAGAGGCTCCTCTGTCCTCCACTGGTTACCTGTATTAATGGCATCTGTTTGAACTTGTTATCAGTATAAAAGACACCTGTCCACAACCTCAAACAGTCACACTCCAAACTCCACCATGGCCAAGACCAAAGAGCTGTCAAAGGACACCAGAAACAAAATTGTAGACCTGCACCAGGCTGGGAAGACTGAATCTGCAATAGGTAAACAGCTTGGTGTGAAGAAATCAACTGTGGGAGCAATTATTAGAAAATGGAAGACATACAAGACCACTGATAATCTCCCTCGATCTGGGGCTCCACGCAAGATCTCACCCCGTGGGGTCAAAATGATCACAAGAACTGTGAGCAAAAATCCCAGAACCACACGGGGGGACCTAGTGAATGACCTGCCCATGTATCGTGAGATTTTGTGTGAAAACCTCCTTCCATCAGCAGGGGCATTGAAGATGAAATGTGGCTGGGTCTTTCAGCATGACAATGATCCCAAACACACCGCCCGGGCAACGAAGTAGTGGCTTCGTAAGAAGCATTTCAAGGTCCTGGAGTGGCCTAGCCAGTCTCCAGATCTCAACCCCATAGAAAATCTTTGGAGGGAGTTGAAAATCCATGTTGCCCAGCGACAGCCCCAAAACATTACTGCTCTAGAGGAGATCTGCATGGAGGAATGGGCCAAAATACCAGCAACAGTGTGTGAAAACCTTGTGAAGACTTACAGAAAACGTTTGACCTCTGTCATTGCCAACAAAGGGTATATAACAAAGTATTGAGATGAAATTTTGTTATTGACCAAATACTTATTTTCCACCATAATTTGCAAATAAATTCTTTAAAAATCCTACAATGTGATTTTCTGGATTTTTCCCCCTCCTTTTGTCTCTCATAGTTGAGGTATACCTATGATGAAAATTACAGGCCTCTCTCATCTTTTTAAGTGGGAGAACTTGCACAATTGGTGGCTGACTAAATACTTTTTTTCCCCACTGTATGTATAACTATTGGGGTGTCATAAATACTATAAATGTTAGCATTTTAAATACCAAAGTATTCCTGCTCTGGGCAGTACGTGTTTGCCAGAGACTTACAATCAAGATTCAACGGTTTTAACTCTCTCTTTACAGGAACCTGCCTCGTGCAATTTTCATCTCAATCCCTCTGGTCACTTTTGTCTATGTATTTGCGAATATTGCATATGTTACAGCTATGAGCCCTCAGGAGCTGATGGCCTCCAATGCTGTTGCTGTGGTGAGTTGCTCTGCTCAAATTAAGATGCTTATTGAGTTCTTCCTTCATCAGGAAATGAAGCAGCCTATTAATCAGTAGATCGGTCTGACCCATCTGACGTTTTTGCTGAATGTCTGCTTACCTCTATAAACTTTGCCTTCTTTTTCTCTTTAATCTCCATCAGACATTTGGTGAAAAGCTGCTTGGGGTGATGTCATGGATCATGCCCATCTCTGTGGCTCTGTCCACCTTCGGAGGGGTTAATGGGTCCCTTTTCACATCATCCAGGTCAGTCTTGATGCCATGTTATTGCACAATTACTCATTCAGTTTGCATTGTATTTTAATGTCAATGGATAGCTTGATTGACAGTTGTTCGTCTCAGGTTATTCTTTGCAGGTGCGAGAGAAGGACATCTTCCCCGTCTGTTGGCAATGATTCATGTGAACCGCTGTACACCCATCCCAGCTTTGCTTTTCACTGTGAGCACTTTGTTTTGTTCCTTAAAGGAATAGTTCACCCAAAAATGAAAATGTACTCACCCTCAGGCCATCCAGATGTAGATGAGTTTGTTTCTTCATTGGAACTGATTTGGAGAAATCTAACATTGCATCACTTGCTCAATGGATCCTCTGAAGAGAATGGGTGTCATCAGAATGAGAGTCCAAACAGCTGAACAAGTAATCCACATGACTCTAGTTCATCATTTACCATCTTGTGAAGCAAAAAGCTGTGTCTGTAATAAATTCATTATTAAGACATTTTTAGCTTTAGCTAAAATATGAGCTCTATCCAAAATATTGTTTCTCCAGTAAAGAAGTAATCTTGTCTGAATCAGGAGAGAAATATGCACAGATCAAGCACTGTTTATGAACAAAAACAGTTCTAAACAAATATGTCGGTGGATTTTGATGTGAGAGGACAACAGGGGATGATTTTTTTCCCACTGAAGGAAGCGTTATTATGGATCATGGACTGGTGTTTTAGCTGAAGTCGACAGTTTAGTTAAAATGCCTTCATGATTTGTTTCTCACTGATGAAATGCTAAATTTCTCCAAATCTGTTCCGATGAAGAAATAAACTCATCTACACCTTGGATGGCCTGAGGGTGAGTAAATTTGTACTCAAATTATCCTTTTTTAGTGAACTATTCCTTTAAATAATCTAAAAATCTTTGTTTTTGTAAATTATATACAATGTATTGGTAGGAGCTTATATTCAAATCAACTCCTGGTTTATTTGATAGTGTATATCAACTCTGCTGATGTTGTGCACCAGTGACATATACACCCTTATCAACTATGTTGGCTTCATCAACTACCTGTTTTATGGGGTCACTGTTGCCGGGCAGATTGTGCTTCGTGTCAAAGAACCAGACTTACATCGACCAATCAAGGTAAGGCTGAATCCTAATGACTTTATTGTGTAGTTTTGACAGCATTAAACCTCAAGAGCTGTCAGAACTCAGCATTTGCTGTGAACCGTAATGATGTATAATTATAGATTACTTTTTTGGGTGGGGGAGGGGGTACTGTACATTTGTAGTACTTTACAAAATCAACAGGTTTCACTCCACAGGTGAGCTTGGCGTGGCCAGTAATTTTCCTGATTTTCTGGGCATTCCTGCTGATCTTCTCTCTGTACTCGGAGCCTGTGGTGTGTTGCATTGGTCTGGCCATTATGTTGTCAGGTGTTCCTGTGTATTTATTTGGCGTCTATTGGGAAAACAAGCCCAAGAGCTTCAACTCCTTTGTTGGTATGGTATTATCTTAAATCTCAATTAATATTGATGGATGAAAATGATTTACAAATGTCAGCTATATTTGCATAAGACTAAACAGATTGTGAATGAGACAGAGGCTACTAAAGACACTCCATCTGCTGTTGTCTGTCTACATAGCTAAACTGACACACTTGGGACAGAAGTTGTTCATGGTGGTATATCCCGCTGAAGGCAGTGAAGACGGGAATGAAGACAAAGACGAATCTGGATAGGATTACAAGAAGTACATTTACTGAGTCATTCATGGATATTCATTCATCAGCTAAACTTAAGCAATATGAATTTGGTAGGTTATGAAAATGCAAAACAAACATGCGTGTGGAGGATAATGTAATAGCTAAAAAAAGTATTTTTCATTTGAAAGACTGGCCTTAAACATTCTAGATGCAATACTGCCACCAATTGGCAAGATTATTAGATGCAATATAAATATTGTTGCTGTGACTGTTACGGATCATTTTTTTATTTTTATATTGAGCATACTATTGTACTCTCTTCATCAGTCTCTGGTGTTTGTATTCACTACATTTTATACTCTATTGTAAGAAGATTGAATAATATTGGAGATAATGTTTTGCATTTTTGTGTGTGCAAGTGTTTCATTTGTATTCGCTTTTCAGACTTCAGACTTGAAAATAAATAATGACCCAAAACACAAACAACAGAAAGAAAGAAAGAAAGATGTCTGTGTGTTATTTACCAGCATGGAATCTTGCCAGCATGGAAATGTCTGTAATTTAGGAGTAAATGGGAACAATGGCTTGCTGTGTTATATAACCCACATCCTACACCCTGCTTTCATGTTGGACAAGGACAACAAAACACGTCCAGAATTATGTTAAATTTTTGGCCTTGTTATCTATAGTAGTGAAGGTAAGGTAAACTACTCTATAATCATTGGAGAACTTGTTCTTCATTTTAAACTGACTCATTTCAGCACACAGGCCTTTATCAAGGTAAAGGTAATATGTTTAAATAAGTCAATTTAATTAAACTAAAGCAAAGTTCAAAATTTAAAGGGGTCCTATTATGCTCTTTTACAAAGTCAATTTAGTTTTGGGGGTGTACTAGAACATGCTCTCATTTTTCACATAATTTACATTATTAAAATACCTTTCTCCCCATCCTGGCACAAACGGCTCGATTAGTTCGGGCTTTGATGAAGGTCCGCCTTCCGAAAAACAAAATGTGATGTGATTGGTTAGCTGTCCCAGTGCGTTGTGATTGGCGAACAGCTTCGACGATGTTTCGGTACTGCCACGCCCCCTTGCTCCGTCTTTCAACAAAAGCTTTTGGTGAATCCGGCACTTCTCACTCGTGTTGTGGAAGCTGTCCTTAGTAAAATGCGCAGCACACAATAGCAAATTGGGGTTATAATGCTCAGGAACAGAGTTAAAAAGTAAATTGCAACCACTGTTTCCTGACATCATTCGCTTTCGGAAGTGAAAAAAAACTGCATTTCAGGCGGTCTTACACCGGACGAGAAGCACAGCGTCGCGCCACGGCTTTAAAATTCGAACACATTATTTTCTATGAGTGTAGGCACACCGGCGGCGCCCAGCTACATTGTGTTATATTTGTAAGAATTGTTCTAGACCAGCAGTTCTCAATCACAGTCCTCGCGTACCCCCGCTCTGCATGTTTTGTTTTACTCTGCAGCAGCACTTCTTCTTCGTCGTCTCGTCTGATGCACTCACTCAACCAAGCGTTGTAACCACGACCTCGCCCCTCCCCACCCCCCAACCATTCGAATTTCTGTAGGCGGGAATTCTTTGTAATGAAATTCTAATGAGCCGCTTTGTGACATCACAAAGCCCGGAAACCAAACGCTGTAGTCCAAACGAGCCGTTTGCTGTAGTTCTTGGAAATTGATTTTTTTTTTAAACTAAATATCTCCCTTTGGAGTGGACTTTGAGATTCGTAACTTTCTAGATCTTTTTTTATGCCCAAACATACACACTACACACTGACTAAAATTAAAAAGTGAAAAAGCATAATAGGACCCCTTTAAGTAAACTCTGTGGTAGTTAGAATTGACCAGAATGTGTGACATCTACCCGTTAAAATACAATATATAATACATTATACAATGTGCTGTTGTTCTACAGATCCCAGGGTGTTTAAAACAGTATGACTTTATTCCACTACAGTCGTGTCCATTCTTTGGAAAACAAATGGGTTCTTCCCCCAGTGCACAGTATTGTTGTCTGTCTAAGAAACCTCAGAGTTGGCAGAGTTCAGCTCCTGAACAAACCATGGATAAATGAATGTCCCTAGAAAATAAAAAATATCTCTGTTATGACATTTGTAGCCTATATTTATTCCTTTATTTTCATTTTAAAAGTTCTTATTTAAAAAAATAACATACAGTTTTTAAAAACATACAGTCCCCTATAGTTTCACTAGTGGTTCATTAAACAATTTTTCTTACTACTTTTTACTTCTTAGTACTTTTTCTTTTCTAGTAGCCACTATTTCATTGACAAGTAACTATTACTCTATTGGCAGTGACATTTCTTTTTCAATTCTAAGTTGGTCTGTGCTTCAGATTTCACTTCCTAAAATATCCAATTCCAGTTTACCAAACCTATTTATGATAAGATCTCATTTGTGCCAGTTGCTTGAACCTAATGAATAGTTATACTACCTTACCTTAGTACGATTTTTATTTAATTTTATTTATGTGGATAAAAAAAAATATATATATTTATTTATATTTATTATAAATAATACACTTTATTTATTATGTGGATCGCCAGATCGGCTTTCACCGTGGACAAAGCGGAGTCCAGCCCTGGGTCGTCACATGTGGTTGCCGCAAGCCCGCCAGACGCTCCTTCGTCGAATCCGCCGCCTCTGCTCACTCTAGGCCACCGCCGCCGCCCAGTCTAGCCCGCCGTGTGTGACGCTGTGTGTTTTGTTGTGAAAACGAAACTACTTTGTTTGGTGTTCCAAAAGAGGACACAACTAGAGATCAGTGGTTAAGTTGTATTTACAACACTGTTCCAGAACAGTTCAACCCAAATATTCAGATGTGTGCAGCACATTTTATGGAGGACTGTTTCCTGATCCTGGTAGAGTAGACTACAATGTCGGCTGTTCTGACTCACAGACTGTAAGTACATTTTTTATATTTAAAGGATTTGCCACTGACGATTCAAACGCGAGTTTTTAGCAGTGTAGAGTAGCGTTTGTTGTTTGTCATTTCTCCGATCACAAATGCAGACATGGTTTTATGTTTACACGGCGCGATGCAATGCGTAAAAAGACAGTATAAGTCATAATAATCCTTAATTATGTCCCCACTGGCAGTGTTGCCAAACCCCTCCCTCAGAAAATCTCTAGAACCACCCTCAAAAGTCTCAATTTTTCACAAAAAGTCGCCAAATATGAAAACAAAGTAAATACAGGTAAATTTGGTAAAGGTAAAGGAAAGTATATATATAAATACATATACTGTATATATATACTTTACAAATGATAACAGTATAAAAAATATAACAAAAGATTAAATATAACAAAAAATTCTGAAGTGAAATTAGGAAATGCTTGTGATCTGCAAGCAGCAACATCATATGACCCCTTTAAATGAACATTCACAATATTATTTTTTATTGCATTTTGATTAAAAGAAAAATGGAGCCTTGATGAGCAAAAGGCTAAAAACGTTACTGATTACAAAATTAAATGGTAGTGTGAACTACTAGTAAAATGTAAGCCAGAAATGACCCCAAAAATGCCCCCAGTATTCAGTGACTAGATAGATAGATAGATAGATAGATAGATAGATAGATAGATAGATAGATAGATAGATAGATAGATAGATAGATAGGTTCGAATTCTAGTTAATGGCATTGAAAAGAAAGTAGGACTATAGACACGATTTAATTATTTACTAAATAGCAATAACCTAATGATATATAGTTATTTTATGGAATAAATGTTTTAGGCGGCTTGCCATACTTTGTAACATTCATTGTATAATTTACCTTAAAAATATACGAAAAATCAGTAAATACTGTATGGGTCCTTTAAATACACACTGCACACAAGTATTTTTCCAGTTCCAGAGCAGCTGGACGAGAATGCATGGCACACCCGGATGACGGAAGTTGCGCTGTACTATGAGGCTTATGGACACATTTGTAAATGTTAGTTACAGCTTAAAGTTACTCGTACAGTAAAAGACCTCGCCTGGTTACCAACGGTTACATCGTAAGGTTAAACAGAAGAGGAAGAGCGGATGAATTAGGCACTGAGCAGCCGGCAGGCTTCGGCGTTTGAGATTACTGCGCTGCCAAAGGTAAGATGATGAGCCTGGGATCAGATGCTGGAACGTCTGCGCACAGAAACACAGGCTGACAACACTCGGGATCTATACGAACTTGAATTTTGCCATCAAAAAGTATCATAATACTCCATTTAATCACAAACAGATGCAGTGTACCACAAAGCAAGAGATGTTTACATCTTTTGCAAACGACGAGAGCAACGAGCAGCGCTAATTTATCGCAGTTTTCAGATATTTCATGTCTTTCCTGTCGTTATCACTTGGCTGTTGGCGTTTTATCAGCATTATAGTGCATGCGATTTTGCTGCGCACACAGCGTTTGTGTTTGAAAATGGTGGATCGAGGAAAGTGTCGATACATGAACACATGCACTGCGCTGTAAATAATATATGAAGATGGCTGTATTAGATGTCAAAACGATAATGAGATGTGGAATGCGTTTTGAGAGGAACGACCGTCACAGAGACTGAAGGCCGTTGTGCGCATGCGGGCGTGAATGTAGTCAGCATGGGAAGATCTGAAGTGAAGGCAGGTGTATGTTCCTCACCTGCGCCAAAGGGGAAGTAAAGTGACAGGCCCAAATTATCTGTAAACTAGGCACTTAGAACAGTAAGTAAAAGTGCAGACAAAAATGACTGATTTCTTGAACACAACACTGTTTTTGTTCATACAATGTGAGTATATAATGACCATTATATATGTCATGCTCCAAAAGATATGCCATATATACATTAAAAAATTATTCAAATTAAATCTTTTAGCCAGTAAGGATGTCTAATTTATCAAAAGTGGCATTAAAGACATAATGTTACAAAAACATTTTTTTGTTTGTTCTTTTTTATACTTTGTATTCATAAAATAAAAAATGTATTACGATTTCTACAAAAATATTTGGCAGCACAATTGTTTTCAACATTGATAATAAGAAATGTTTCTTGAGCATGAATGCAGCATATTAGAATGATTTCTGAAGAATCATATGACATTGAAGACTGGAGTAATGACAGTATTACTGTTTTTACAGTATTTTTATCAAATAAAATGCAGCCTTGCTGAGCATAAAGGGCATCTTTTAAAAAAAATTATTTAACCTATTTTTAGTTTAAATAATTCTTTGTTTATTTAAAGTGAAACCAGATAAGATCTTTCACAGAGTTGCAATTAATATAAAAAAAAAATTGAAGTCAAGTTTATGTACATATATGCAATTGAATAAAGTACCAAGAAACTGCCAGTCCTTGGTTAGTGCTGGTTCCTCTTTCAATTTCTATGAAATGCCTCTCTCAATCTCTCTGATTACAGAAACAGTCATGAGTCCCTCAGTGCGCTTACAGGAAATGATCCGGGTCATCCGTAGTGCCCGGACACAAGGTGAGGAGAGGGGCATCATCCAAAGAGAGTGTGCGGATATCCGAGCGCAGTTTCGCCAGGGTGACAATGGGGAGCGTTCACACAGCCTGGCAAAACTACTCTACGTGCACATGCTGGGTTACCCTGCACACTTCG